GAGGATTGGATCTACATCCTAGCTCGTATTGTAGGGTTGGATCCTATCGTCGGCATTATTATCGTTATATCATCCCATTATTATTACTGTGAGTGTGATCAATACTACTCATCGCAGCATTATTATAGATAGAAAGCAAAATGGAATCCAAACCTAAATTATCCATTTTGTTATCGATATCTTCATTGTTATTATTATCATCATCATCATCATCCTCATCCTCATCATCATCATCATCATAATCGTCATCATCCTTATTCGTACCACCGACACCGACACGACTCTTCCTTTTATCCCTTATAGCGTTAATATTGCCGCCGCTGCGAGAATTAATCTTACTGCGGTTTTTATCTCTGTGTACTAATATACGCTTCAGCTTATCGCTTTCAGCGTGAGATATTATGTTGTCCAGTGAACACAGATCGTATTCGATTAACAAAAATTCCGCATCCAGAAGATGGACTCTGATTGGCTTTACTCCGAACTTCCGTCTGTCGGTATTATTTTCCAATTTTATGTAAGTAAAGATATATAAAAGGTCAGAGCAGTAACACGATTCTCTTCCCCTCAGAGATGGGTGTATTCGGTTGCTGATCAAGACATATCCCGAAAGAAGTGACGAATCACAGTCGTCGTAATTCGATGTCGTCTCTTTAGATCTCATTGTGGTGTATTTTTTAATCGCTGTAGATCTATCCTTTATTATCAACGTCGCCCAAGAACCATTAAAGGGGGGTCTGGTTGACTGTAACAGGATCCTGTAAAGATCAAACAGTTCGCGAGTGTGCATGTTCTTGTCTTCCTTAACTTTCTTCGACACGTAGTCGATAATCGTCATCAAGTCGTCGTCGTCGTCGTCAATCTCGCCAATATGAGATAGTATACAGTTCGAGCACATGAGGACTTTCTTTGTCGGACGAATGAAACAGAAAGATAATTTGTAATTACTCTTGTACTCGTTGCAGTAACACGTCTTAATGTCCGTTATTCCGAACCGACACAAAAAATTCAGAGGCGTCGACATGAGTTTGTAGAGCTTGACAGCACCGACGAGGTCCGATATTTCGGTTATCGTATCTTTTTTACCGGCGAGGATGGACTTCTTTGCCAGTTCCTCTACAGAGAGATTATTCAACAACCGTTGTAGTCTCTGCGAGTTTTTACAATTACAGTTTAGCGACACTACCCATGATATGATGTTTTCGATATTTGTATCCATATTTCCATCCGTTTGTCAGCTTGTTGGTTGGCCAGATAATCGAGGAGAGGGCAATAAAACAACTCGAAATTCTATCCGAATATTGTCATTATTATTATTATCATCATCAATTGTATTTACACGACACTTTACGAAATTGACACAATAAACTGTTACACGTGTAAATCTTATACGATTATATAATTACAATAGATAAATATCTATACTCTAATATATGTTAATAATAACTATATCATCATTCGTAAAAAAAAAATACCGATACACATGTATGAAAATATAATCCGTTACTGTTTGCCTGTAGATCCATAGCCTCCTTCACCACGCTCTGTCTTCGTCAGTTCTTCAACTTGCTCTATGTCGGGATATATAATTTTTTCACAGATCAGTTGAGCGATACGATCCCCCTTCTTCACTTTATAATCATTTTTGGCGTGATTAAACAAGATTACGCCAACATCACCTCTATAATCTCTATCTATTACACCAGCTCCCACATCAAGATGATGCTTCCACGACAGACCAGATCTTGGCGCAATCCTACCATAACATCCTTCAGGAAGCTCGATCTGAATGTCTGTCTTTACGAGGGATTTCCCGTTAGCCGGAATTGTCAGGTCGTAAGCACTGTATAAATCAAACCCAGCAGCAAGTTTCGAACCTTTTGAGGGTGTGAAAGCGTGTTCAGTCAGTTTTTTAAACTTCAGCACATTTTTCAATTCTGACATGGTGGAAGAGTCGCACGCACACCTGTGTATGTGTGTGTTGCTCTTGATGCAACGGCTAGCGAAATGTTCTTTAAAGATCAATTGGCGGATATATATAGACAAACTTACCGAAAACCATATTCTCGTGGCAACATTTATGAATACAAAAAATGGACAAAATATACACATCATCTTCAATAATACACATCCTCAGTAATATAAAATACATTCAGTAATATAAAATCATGTTAAATCTTAAAAATTCCATCTATTTACATATACAGAGTCGCCATTGCTTCTATCTGCATATCTATATATTTATCCATCTACAAACAATATATCCCTCTACTTATTATACATCTATAGGGGGCAACATGGGATAGCATGTTCGGACTATATTTATTACGTCGCGAATCTCTGGTCTCGCCTCAATATCTCTCTGTCTACCTTCTCGAATCCACTTTTTAAATGTGAAGTTCTCCGACAAGAGAGAAACGTCATACCTCTTGCAGAAGAGTCTTTTTACGATCTGTTCCAGAGTAAAGGACAATCCATATGTCATGCTCTTCTGTACACACACTTCTGCTTCTAGTAGTTCGGGTGGCGACTGAGGATACAGATGTCTCTCGTTCGGATATATGTTGAAATCATAGCTCGAATATCTCGTCCCAACGGCCGTCATAAATCCCAGGTCGATCAAGTACGGTTGGCCGCTACGTACATCTATGACAAAATTATCCGGTTTGATGTCCAGACACACCATCTGCTGATCGCCCAGTCTCATTAGAATATTTGCCATCTCGATAATCACGTTGGGTAATTGTTGCACAAGCCTCTCCGTACATTCGACTATGAGGGTTTTGCCGTCAATGTCTTCCGCTAACCCCAATGTCGTACACTTGCAAAGAAAGTGAGGTAGAAAGGTGTTCGAGCGGAGCTCATCGTAAAGGAAGTAATCTAGAGATAGACCCAGAAAGGGCATTTCGTAGCAGAGTGCTTCTGGATAGACGTGTTCTATGTTCACGACACCCTTAACCTCTTTTAGTATCAGTCCACAATGTATTTCTCTCAAAAAGTCTTCTATCCTATCGCCAGTGAATTTGGTTAAAAACTTGATCACCGTATGACTCTTAGTTATATAATATATGCCGGTATTGATTTTGCACACGTTGTTGTTGCTGGATCCACATTGTGCTTCTACCACCGACATTAACGAGACTGACCCTTCTCTTATTTTATCTACTGAACTGGAATCTAAATCCAGCTTTTGATACAAGTCGACAGTGTCTCCTAGGGTGTCTGATCTTCCAATATTAATCAACATATCATAGATCGGTGCACAGTCACATAATAATGGTGTTGGTGGTACAAAAACCGGCATTGTCGCTGGTGCCGATGTCGGTACTATTGTTGATTGTGGTGGTGGTGCTGGTTTTGTCCTTGGTACCGGCACCATTACGCAAGGCTGTGGTTGCTGTTGCTTCTGTTGTTGTTGTTGTTGGGGTTGATGACGTGATTGACATAATTTTGTAGACGATTTCCATATTCTTCTTACAATAGGCGATATGCAGATACGCCATGCTTTTGTCCTGGGATTGTAAGCTGTGTGTCGATTGTGGCCCCTTTTGTAATTCGTAACCTCTTCATGTTTATAACTTTTAATATATTGACGTTTGGTCGTGTCTTCTTCAATATATTGCTCTTCCCCATGTCGTTCTCACACCTCCACGGCCCGTAACGGCATTCGAAGTCTGGTAGGAATTTTCGTCTCTTCTTCGGTTTATCCTCTTTCTGCGAGTAAAAGTTTAATAACGTTGTTTAGTTATGTGATATGATTATCATCGTCAATTTTATTATTTTTATTATTATCACTACCGTAAAGGAAATATCAACATTAATATATACGATACATACTCGTCTTATTTTTTTAATAAATGTTCATGACATCATCATCATCACTACCGCACCACCACGCCAATCATCGTCGTCGTCGTCGTCGTCGTCGATCATGTTGCTTCCTCTGTATTATTTTACTACTTCCTTTCTATTACTATTGCTAATGTTTTACTGTCACTGCTGCTGCTTGCTGCTGCTAGTATCACCACGCTAACTGTCGTTATCCTATTGCTGGCGCTTTCTCGCTGCTGCTGCTTCCGCTTTCGCTGCTGCTGCTGTGGCTTCTACTACTTACTACCGCTGCTGCTACTATTACGACTACTATTAGTGCTGGTAGTACTGCTAGCGGCATTATCGCTAATGGTGGCCACTCTTACCATTCTGCGACTTCTTCCTGTTCCTTTCATTCACGGTCGTTTAAAACCTTTTTAAAAATGACCCTTCACTCTTTTTTTTCTTCCCCATATGGTCATTCCTAAAAACTTTTCGCTCAGTCTGCATCGCTGACGTCCGATTTCCTTATATCATCTCAACCTTCTCCTGCGACGCGTATCTCCGTGACAGTTCGGATCTCTATGTCCGTATTCGTCATCTTTGCCGTTTGTTTCGTTGTCGTCCTTGGGTCTTTACCTTCGATGCATTAGCGGATTTTATTCCCTGCCGAGTCGCTCTTAAGTCTTTGGTTCGTTAGGGTCATTTCTCTCTCTGCGTTTTTTACGGACATTTTCTTTCTTTTGCTTTGTTTTCTCGTCGACGGGTCTTTTTTCTTTGTTCCGTTTTTACAGCTCGCACCGTGTGAAGGGTCGCCTTTGTCGCATGTTTTATTTTCTTCCACGTTTTTCGTTTTTAGAGACCCCACGCTCTAGCGCCTATCTCCTCCTCTCTCTCTCTTTCGTGATAATGAATGATGATGATGATTATGATGATGATCCTCCTTGCTTGACTGCCGTCTTTTCCTTTATTCGCTCTGGTTTGTGTGAGGCGTGGCCCGAGTTAAATTATCCCGTCTTCCTCCTCTACGACCGTTTTCCGTTGTCCAAAGCGCAGCGGTGCTCTCTCCTCTTTTTTCGGGACGGTCTGTTTTTTTTCACAGAAGGATTCTGTCGCCTGACCCATATTTCTCTCTCTCGTTTTTCTCCCGCCCGGCAGGGCGAGCCGTCGCCGGTCCGTTGCGAGTTCCGGTCCTCCGCGAGATCGCCTTTTATTCCCATCGCGGGGTATCTTTTCCGCGGCGGATCCGTCCCGTCTTCTCTCTTGCGTGACGGCGGTCTTCTCCTGCGGCGGTGTCCGCACTGGTCTCCTCTTCTTGGTCGCCCGACGCTGGTGTTTTCTGTCTTCTCTTCTTAACGCCGACCGCTGTCGTCTTCCGAGTTTTCCTTTTCGCGAGTGCTCTTTTTGACCCGCGGCTTTCTGTATCGGTCTTTATCGCTCGCGATCTAGACCTTCGCCGTTATCCTATAGGCCTTTTTTCCTCGCCGGACGCGCTCGCATATCCTACCGTATCTCTTCTTCTTTTTCTTCTCCTCGCGCGGCGTCTTCTTAGCTTTCCCGGACAGGACGATTCTCGCGATTCTAGACTCGCGGTCTCTCCTGTAGTAGTCGGTTTTTAATCGCTCCCGTCGTTAGGTGGAGTATTGCGGTCATCGACAGAACTGGCAATTTTCGTCTTCTGTTTCGTATCCGAACAATCTCGCGATCATTCTTCTTCTTCTTCTTTTTCTTTTTTCTCTGAATATCTTCTTCTTCTCTTCTTCTCCTGAACTTCTCGCTTCTCGGTGTCTCTTTCTTGACCCCTTTTCGTCTGTTCTGTTTTTCTCGCTCCCCTTATACGGAATACTAGATACTCCTATTTTTTTCACAAACGTCATAACATCGTCTCCGTTACCGTAACGGACCTCTAACTTTTTCCAATCCCGCTCATAGTCATCGTGTGGAGATACCGTCGATCGTGAATCGCCCGATTCTTTACCTCCGGGCTTCGTCTCGCTCGTATCCTCTCTGGTGTCGATATTCTTCGGCGACGTCGTGTCGCCAGTCGACTGTGGCTTTATTCTCTCTTCCTCCCCTCTCTCCTCTTCGGCGTCGTGTCCGGTCGTCGATGTCTTGTCGACAGTCGACCCCAACAAATCTTTCTCCCTCTCTTCTTCTTCTTCTTCTTCTTCTCTGGTGTCACTCTTCGTTGTCGATATCTTGTCGCCGGTCGACCGTGATTCGTCTTCCTTCTCCTTCTCCCGTTCTTCCACTGTGTTGGTGTTGTGTTTCGTTAACGAGAGCGACGACGATGTCGTATCGCCAGGAATTGTAGTGTTCCTGTTCTTTAGCGCATCGTCGTCGTCGTCGTCGTCACCAGAACGCGTATGTAGCGGAGATATCGGATTACGGCGCATTTTACTCATTTCGTCGATAATCGCACGTGTAGTTTCGTCGCACCCGTCAAGCCGATCTTTTTTAGACTCTTCCTTGTCTCTGCCTTTGATGTGTATCGTTGGATCTCTTACCCTATCTTTGACGTTACTTCTATCTACATTGTCGTCATCATCAGCGTTGCTCTTATCGACGGTACTTCTGCTATTTACACTGCCGTCGTCGTCGTCGTCGTCATCATCATCATCATCATCATCATCATCATCATCATCATCAGCATCATCAACAACAACAGAAGCAGCAGCTGCAGCGTTGCTCTTAACGACGGTACCTCTACTATTTACACTGTCGTCATCAGCATCGATATTCTTGACGTCGCTCTTGTTGATGACGGTGTCTCTTTTACCGCCGCGAAACGACTTGTCGTCTTTTATTCTCTCGTACTGACTCAGAACATTTTTCAGGACGTCGACGAGGCTGTTTCGAGTCAGCATGATCTCTATCATTTGTCTCATGCTCATATTCGTAAAGGGGGAAGAATCGTCTCCGTGGTGCATTGGCCAATACGATCGATCGCGATGGCTTTGTCGACTAGATGTACTTTGCTGTCGATGCTGCCGTGGTGATGATGATGTTGGCGTCGATGATGACTGTTGTTTTCCTTGCTGCTCTTGATCTTTGTCTTGGTTTTGCTCTTCTCGTTGTTTCTGCTGCTGCTGACGATGATGGTATTCTCTGTCTTCCTTATAGTGGTTTAATGCAGTCTCGTATGGCTCACGATCGTACTGGTAGAGCTGTCGACGGTGCTGGTGAATTTGATGTCTGTGATGCGACTGTGCCTGAGAGGAATTATGCTGTTGCTGCTGCTGCTGCTGCTGCTGGTGGCGGTGGTGGTGTTGATAGTATTTCTGTTGCGGCCGTGACTTACTGGTCTTGTATTGGTAAGGTTGTTCTTGTTGTTGATGGTAATGGTGATGAGAAGGAGGATGAAATGGAGGATGAGATCTCGATTGGTATCTTTTATTGTATTTGTAGGCGTGGTTATATCCACTATCCGTTTTCTGATAGTTGTGATACTTGTACGCGTTTTCTTCTGAACCGTCTCGCTTGCGACTGTAGATTCCCGATTTCTGAGACGAATACGCTATATCGTCTCCGTCGTGCCCTTGTGTATACTGCTGGGTGTGAGTGTTTTGATACGTCGTGGAGCGTGTCGGATGATGACGATGATGTTGCTGTTGTTGTTGCTGTATTTGATAGGTAATGCCACACACTGAAGAGATTGGAAATATCTTGCTACACTTTTGGGCTGCACTGCTATCCTCATGGTTATCGTCGTCGTTGTTACCGTCACCAGTAACATCGTCATTATCACCATCGCCGTTAGTGTTGTTATTATTATTATTACTATTATTATTATTAACATAATTATCATCGTTGACGTCGTTGTCAACATCATCATCGTCATCACCACCTCCAATGCTACGACGACGACGACAACGACGACCACTATTGTCTCTGTTCATGTTTGCCGACGAGTCCCTAAAAAAAAATCGACGCTTTAACTCGGTAGACACCGTATTCTCTTTATAGTTTTCTACATATTGAATAATGCGTTACTTCACTAACACACGAAGTGAGGTGTCGTGTCGCGATGCACCTCGGAAAAGACACGTAACGTACCTCGGCGAGTCGATGTCTGAGGCGTGTACTATACTGTCGGATGCAGAATGTTTCTCGTGGTAACATTTTAGTCCTGTTGTTCTCTTATCTTTCTCGTTTTGTTGACGATCCCCGTCCCATGGAAAATATCTATTGGACCAGATCGTTCGTGTTGATATTTTCAGCCTATGTGTTCCTCGCGGTGTATCGACGAAATATTTACCGAAGATAGTTACCCGAGGACAGTAACGAGACTCTAAAACCAGCAATTTAATTCGCTAACCCTTCTATTGCGGAGTGCTGTTAGTTGCACTCTCGAAATGTTGTCGCCCTCGAGAATATCGTCATCGATGCTGGCTGTTATGAAAATCGGCTTTTTTTGTGGACTCTTTAATTTTTGGCGAAATTCTTCTTCGACACCAAAGGTTATCGCATGCAGAATGTTAGAAGTGTCAGACTCGCCGCCGCCGCCGCCGCTCGTGATCAGTTTATCGTCACTTCTCATGCAGTGCGATTTTTCTATAGCCGTTATTA